CCACAAAATACCACGTGCGGGCACGCACGTACAGTGCGATTGAAACTCCGTGGCCCACGCGCAGAAGTCGGTATTTTGTGGAAGAGCCACACTCAAGGGGCCAAAGAGCCGCATGTGGCTCGCGAGCCGCAGTTTGCAGACCATTGCTAAACCATTAATAAACATGAGATAGTTTGCACACCGGGGCTTATTTGGGTCCTACAGAGTCAGAAGGAGTTACCTGAAATTTTATAGGGAAGAGTGTAATCTGAGTTTTGTTTTCCTCCTTTAAAAACCATTCTTCTAAATTTAATTTTTCTCTAAAATCAATGAAAAAATCTCAACATATCCTCAGGGAAGGATTAAGAAAATGAAGTAATAGTAGAAATAATATATATGTTTTAGAAAAGGTCTCATGAATTCTTTGGCTGACATGTTTTATTTTCTCTTCAACTCCTTTCCAATTTAGAATATTTATGTGGGAAAAGAAAGGTGTTTCATATAAGGTAAGCTTGAAAGGTTTGTGTCAATGCTTTTTGATGTTCATACTCTAATAAAATAAAGAAAAAATCCTCTCTGTTCCTCTCCTCTTTCTCCTGAACTCTCCATTTTACACCCTGGATCCTAAAAATTCTAGTTCAATGAGTGCCTCCATCACTGTCCACACCTTCCAATGATATTTTTAGCTTTCTCTATTTCCCTGAAACTACTACGGAAACAGCACCCCAACCCTAAGCTCTCAGAGCAAGAGAACTAAATCACAATAGTGTTTGATGAAATGACATTTGGATGAGTTGTTTGGTTTGTTCTTGATTTCATTCAGTGCTTTGCTTACTGAAAGCCTATTCTATTCCAAAGAGATGAACAAAACAGACACAACACAGAAGCAAGTCACCAGGGTCCTTTTAGTGCTTCCAGGCAGAAAGCATGGGGAATGTAGACCAGGGTAGTGGGCTGTGTGAGTGAGCCTGATGGAGTAGGAGGCCACTGGCAAAGATCTGGAGGAAGACAACTCCAGGCTGAAGCAGTCCCCCATCCCCTGTCGTTCCACACCCAGCATGCTCTGCTGCTTTACATTGGTTATGTGGCCTCATAGGCATTTGATATACAATTTTGTAAATCTAACCTATTGCCCAGTTAAAGTTTAAGTCCTCTTTTAAGGGGACCTTGCTTAAAGCCCAAACTATTAAAAGAAGCAGGTTACTTGGGGTTGGTAGAAAGAAAAGGGGAGAGAGAGAGCATTTATGATGACACGTTTGGGGCAGCTATTTCACACTGACTCATTTTCAGCTGTTAACACCGAAATTGGTTCTCACATGTATGCCTGGTTCCTTTAATGATCTGAATTGAGTGAAGACTCTACATTTCATATAATTTCTGGGCAGGATCAGGTAATAAAAACCATCACTATGTACAAATTATAAAGCAGCTGTATCAAAACTCTACACATAACCTTTTTATACATTTGGTGTGTGAGTGTATGTGTTATGAAAGTCATCTAACTCATGGCATTCACATTTTGACCATAAAGACACAGTAATATTTTTGACACCATGATCCAGTACACACTATTTTACTACTTTTATGCTCTGCTATTTTGTATTCTCTGTTTATCTTAAATACAGGAAGTAGGCCACTTCCTGTATTTAATAACCCTCTATAAAGAGCACAATCCACAGTTGGAAAAACACCAGGAAAACCATTTCATTAGCCACCTTTGTGAATATGCATCTTGATTTAGTACTTCCATTTGATGTCTGATAATTGTCTTAGATTTTAAAAATATTTTTATTGATTTCAGAAAGAAAGGGAGAGGGAGAGGAAGCGAGAGAAACACCAATGATGAGAGAAAATCATCAATGGGTTGCCTCCTGCATGCCCCACACCGGGGATTAAGCCTACAGCCCGGCATGTGCCCTGACCTGGAATCGAACCGTGACCTCCTGGTTCATAGGTCGACAATGAACCACTGAGGCACGCTGACCAGGCCTGTCTTAATTTTTTGATTTATGTATTCTAGTACATGGATGTCTTGAATGAGAATAGTCTGAATACATCTTAGATGGTTTTTTCCAATTTTGCTTATTAAACAAACTTCCCCACAACTTAATATTTACAGCCACCTTTGTGAATATGCATCTTGATTTAGTACTTCCATTTGATGTCTGATAATTGTCTTAGATTTTAAAAATATTTTTATTGATTTCAGAAAGAAAGGGAGAGGGAGAGGAAGCGAGAGAAACACCAATGATGAGAGAAAATCATCAATGGGTTGCCTCCTGCATGCCCCACACCGGGGATTAAGCCTACAGCCCGGCATGTGCCCTGACCTGGAGTCGAACCGTGACCTTCTGGTTCATAGGTTGACAATGAACCACTGAGCCACGCCGACCAGGCCTGTCTTAATTTTTTGATTTATGTATTTTAGTACATGGATGTCTTGAATGAGAATAGTCTGAATACATCTTAGATGGTTTTTTCCAATTTTGCTTATTAAACAAACTTCCCCACAATTAATATTTAACAACTCTGGCCGAAACCGGTTTGGCTCAGTGGATAGAGCGTCGGCCTGCGGACTGACATTACATTTGGTAAGTTCCTCCAAAGGTTTCAAATTATGGAGGAACACAGATTTTTATTTCCTTCATGGGGAAATAGTGTGATTTCACCATTAGATCTGTTTGTTCATGGCTCTGAAAATATGAGGTTTTAAGTGCTTAAGCACTTAAAAGGGGCCAGGGTGGGGCTTTTAAATAAAAAAAATATTTACAACTCTGGAATCTCCTAGTCATTTAATATATTGTGTGAATGGGGCTCTAGTGTTGCAAATAGACAAACGTGCTGTTCATTATTTAGAAATGATCTGCTTTTCACTTACTCATGTTATTCTTTTTGTAGCAAAGAGCCTCTGACCGGAACTTCACAAAATGGAACATCAGTGCGCTACCAACCACATGAGAATCTCTGCTTTGAGAACGATCTTTATAACGTTTATCAAGACCCATCGGTGCTAGGACCTTTAGGCCTTTGACTGCAGAAAGCACTGACCAGATCTCACCATGTCAGTCCTTTTAAGCTCCAGGATTATTTTTCTGTCAATATTTCATGGTGTTCCAATGTGTCTGTGATGTTGGTTAGAGTATCTTTAGCTCATCAGTGTGAAGTCAAACCTCATTGGTAATTAGTCTTAATTTTTTATATTAAAATTGGCTCAATTTTTCTGGTCATAGCAGAGCCCTCTCCTAAATATGAACTGAACACTTTAGAATTGTATATTCTGTACAGATCTTATGAATCCTGTATCCATCAAGAATTCTCATTGCGTAGACATGAAATGAACCAATATGTTGGTTACTAAAGCTGTCACAAGGAGGGGAATAGGACTTAAAATCAGCAAATTCGATTTGGAACTTAAATGAATTCACTTGGAAGCATTTCATGATTAACTCTTGTGTGTGTGTGTGTTTTTTTTTAATCTTGCAATCAAAACATTACATTTCATAAGTTCCTCCAAAGGTTTCAAATTATGGAGGCACACAGATTTTTATTTCCTTCATGGGGAAATAGTGTGATTTCACCATTAGATCTGTTTGTTCATGGCTCTGAAAATATGAGGTTTTAAGTGCTTAAGCACTTAAAAGGGGCCAGGGTGGGGCTTTTAAAAGAAGAAGCTAGAATGGTGAGTGGAGCAAGTAAATAGGTGGAGAAAATCAATGGCCATGTGATTTAACACATGTGTGCCACTTCTGCTACATCTGTGCCACATATAGACAACCATCAGGGATTCTGAACTAACTTTTAGAATGATGCAATACAGAGATAAATAAAAGGGCAAAAGAAAGGGAGAGGTTAGGGCAAAAGGCCTCTGCCTTAGAAAAGTAAGTGCAAATCTAATAGTGCTGTTTGAGAGTGTTACTAGTTTCAACTGGAATTCTAAATTGTCCCCAAACCACTTTGATTATTAAAATTATTTTAGAAGGATGATTTTTTTATATCATTAATTCCAATGCTGTTCCTTTTCCACAAATGCCAAGAGAGCTAAAACCAAAAAAGGTAAGGATATTTTTAGCCACCAGAAACTTTTTTTTCTTCATATCAGAAACATTTCGACATGAATAGTTCACAAGGCTGGGTAGTAATTTCAATTTGAGTTAATTTTGAAATAATTCACACTTGATGTTCAGTGCTACCCACATCAAAGTGGCCTAGGAGGGCAGGATGCTTGTTTTTGAAGGCAACATTTTTTATATATAACTACAGAATTCTAGAAAATTATAGCACCTCTGAATAAAGGTTATAGTATATGGGCAAATAATATTGTTGAGCATTGTCTACTGGGTTTCCCAAATAGGGTGAGATTAATATGGGTTATACATTTTTGTTCAAACCACAGCGTTTTTCTTTTAAATTCAAGACAACATGCAGGAGGCAGCTTATGTATATTGCACATTGATGTTTCTCTCTTTTCCCCTTCTCCTCTAAAAATCAAACTATTCTTTAAGACAAACAAATGAATGAACAAATAAATAGGCAAGCTAGTGTGGCTGCAGCAAAGTGAGTGAGGAGGTTTGGAAAGAGATTAGCTGGAGACATGGGCACTTTCTCACGGGGGCTGAATGCAAAGGGCCCTATGAAAACATCTGTTGAGAAGAGTCCCACTCTTAGGAAACAAAACACTTCATGTAAAGGGTTAAACATTCTATGCACCACCAAATTATGATACCATTGATTAACGTGCTATCTGGAAGTAAAGAGATAATTTGTCTTTTGCTCTCCTCCAATCAAAAGCTTTGGTCAGTTGGGTTTGAACAGCTTTGAGTGGTCGGGAGATACGCTCCCCAGACTGTCTCTTTGACTCTTGATTACATCAGTTTTTCTGAGGAAATAGAAAAAAGTCATGGCTTCATCTAGAGCAGTGGTTCTCAACCTTCCCAACCATAAAATTATTTTCGTTGCTACTTCATAACTAATTTTGCTACTGTTATCGTAATGTAAATATCTGATATGCAGAATGTATTTAGGTGACCCCTGTGAAAGGGTCGTTCGACCCCCAAAGGGGTTGAGAACCGCTGATCTAGAGAAAAGGTAATGGTAGCCACCAAAGTGTAAGGTGGTGCCTTATCGGCCTTGACTACTAAATGTCAGCGTGGTGTATGTGGGACTTAGAATACCTGGGAATCTAATTGTAAAGTTCCCTTAGGGCCTTTAGAGCTCTGACTTCAGAGTGTGGTGGTTATTGATGTCTTTACCCAATGTCCCCCGAGCCCTTTGTCACCCTAGCCTCCAGTGTAATCTAAAAAAACAAGATCTGCCCTGCTGCTGTGGCTTACTGCTTGAGTGTCCACCTATGAACCAGGAGGTCATGGGTCTATTCCTGGTCATGGCATAAGCCCAAATTGTGGGCTCGATCCCCAGTGTGGGGCATGCAGGAGGCAGCTGATCAATGATTCTCATTGACTAGAGGCCCAGCGCATGAAATTTGTGCATGAGCAGGGTCCTTAGTGGC